GCCTGGGAAAGGAAATCAACTTCCTTTCAAAATCGAAAGTTTCATCCGTTTTTTGTAAAATTCGTTGACTTAGAAAAAATTTACAGTAGAGCGTCGTTTATCCGAAAGTCGGTTATCCGAAAGAATTCCAGTCGCCAAATTTAAATTTTCGCTAGTGCTGTGGCGCTGCAATCTTTGGCTATATCTTGGGCTACTCCAATATTTTTTTTGTTGGTGTGTGTGTTTTAGCTGGCAGCACTGGCACTTTTGTGTAGTGTTTTTCTGAGGATTGTGTGTCATGCTGAATCGAACGTTTTTGATACTAGATTAACTTCTAAAGTATAATTTTTTTTTGTTTTTATATTTTTCAATATATTTATTTTGTTCATAAAAAATAAAGAAATAATTTTTAACAATACAATAGCCACGATTATTATTTTAAAAAGTTTACATTAGGCATAACATTGACGAAAATTCAAAGCGAAGCGACAGGTAATGGAAAAAAATTTCAACGCGGGATAGGTTAATATATTTTTTTATACATAATCGGTTATCCCAAAAATAAGTTATCCGAACAACCTCAGTCCCCAATTGATTCGGATAAATGACACTCTACTGTATCTATATTTTAACAGAAAAACATTTGGTTGTTTAAATATTGTGATATATATGTAAAATAGCACAGTTATCTTCTCTTATTTTACTGTAATTTGTAAAATAATATAATTTTATAGTGCCTTAAAATAACAAACAAATATTTATTCTGTTACATTATTATTATATAATTAATATAATAATCAAGGATTTCTCCCATACCGGGTCATATACAACAAATATATGTATTCTTCAACCAATATCCGGCGTGAAAATTCCAAACTAATATTGGCAAATGCTTTTGATGCCCCTCCTGGGCTCTTCTTCAGGCCAAATTTAATATACTGGATTCTTAAATCGAATATTTTTAAATAAGAACATGCTCTGTTATTAGAAGTTCAAATAAGGAAGGTAATAACGTGCCTTTCCAAATTATAATTTCTTTATAATTTATATTCGTGGAGATATGTCGTAGAGAAAAAAGGAATTAAAATTACATACAGAAGAAACCCTTCCATATATAATTTATTAAGAAACGGAAAAGACGCCCATAACCCAAACAGGCTACCAGGAATATACACCATTTCCTTAATGGACGATAGATGGCAAAGGCAACTAATTTACATAGGATCCACTAAGCATCCGTTAGCCACCAGAATAAAGGAACATAAAGCAGACATCACCCACAACAAATATACAACAGCATTGTCGACATATGCAACAAACCCAGACATAACCTCGATTTTTAATGAGGCACGGGCCATCCGCACCACTCGTCATCATGAACATCTAAGAACTTTGGAAGCGATGGAAATTTACAAAGCATATTACAAACTAACCAGCATCAACCTTAAAGAAGAAATGAATCTCTCAACAGCATGGCAGTATTTATTGGAAGATGAATCGTAATTTATTATACGATACACCAGATTATTATGGGATGTGCATATCGTATATCCACTAGTTAAAATTATTTTTAGAAACGGTACGTGATTAAAAAAATACGCGAGATTTTATAAGATGCACACAACATATCTCCACGAATATAAATTATAAAGAAATTATAATTTGGAAAGGCACGTGATTACCTTCCTTATTTGAACTTCTAATAACAGAGCATGTTCTTATTTAAAAATATTTGATTTAAGAATCCAGTATATTAAATTTGGCCTGAAGAAGAGCCCAGGAGGGGCATTGAAAGCGTTTGCCAATATTAGTTTGGAATTTTCACGCTGGATATTGGTTGAAGAATACATATATTTGTAATATAATAATTTAATCATTTCACTTAAAAGTGAAATAGTTTGTTGTTTAATTATGATTTACTAATTCACACTACACTATCCAGAACCTGTAACCAGTGCATGACACATATATGCTGTATGCCGTTGATGACGAACGTTTTCAAACAAGCTCTTTGCTCTTCTTCAAGTCAACTTGAATTCACTGGATGGAGTGTATTCTATTTATTGGGATCAGGTGTCATTTCCACGAAGTGGGTCCTTTCTGACATGCGCAGTTGTGTGGTGGAGGGGGAAGTTGCGGGTTAGCATCCAACAGTGATTGCCAGGCCAGAGATAGATTCAGCTCCTCCTTCTGGTTAACGCTGGCCGGGTAACCACATGTGTTAACCGGAAAGAGGAGCTGACTCTATCTCTGGCCTGGCAATCACTGTTGGATGCCAACCCGCAACTTTCCCCTCCACCGCACAACTGCACATGTCGGAAAGGACCCACTTTGTCAAAATGACATCTGATCCCAACAAATAGAATACACTCTGTCCAGGGAATTCCAGTTGACTTGAAGAAGAGCAAAGAGATTGTTCAAAAACATTCGTCATCAGCGATATACAATATATACATATGCGTCACATACTGGTTACAGGTTTTGGATAGTGTAGTGTGGATTTCACTCCGATGCTGAGATTAGAACAGTTCCTCTATTTAAAGATTTACTAATTGTTTATAAAGTAAACATTTGAACATTTTTATTTAAAATATGCATGATACTAAACACTTAGTGTCAGTTCACAATACATAGTGTTAAATGTGTTTTAAATTTAGCAATTTTTTAAAATGATTTATCATTTTAAAAATAAGTTATATATGGAAATAAAATTTTTTAATAGGAAGTATAGAAGATAGCACCTCTCATCAAAATATAGAAAATGATAAAAATATGAAAGATGGTAGAACTCTTTATGAAACAGAGAAGAGTAATAGAGAAGATCAAATTGAAAAAATGTCTACAGTTTTGCCAACGATGTGGTTAGGATCACAGGATGGAAAGTAATTTTAATTTTATATTTAATATTTACTCAATCCATAAGTCTGATGTTAATTATTATGAAATTTTATAAGACTTTATTTAACTGAAATACAGGTATATCTTGGGTTACATCATTTCGAGTTAAGTCGTTCTCAATTATAATTTTATTTGTCAAAAAAATATATGGAAAAATAAAAATCAAGTTTAAGTCATTTTATTTGATTTTACATCTGTCCGCCACAAATATTGAAGTCGTAATATCACTATAAAAGTGTTAAAAGTCATCATATTAAAATCATATTACAAAACATACATTTACAGTAAATGTTAATATAATCATCATAAATCCTAGAGAACAAAATATGAAAACATTTGTGACTCTGTGTTATTGTCTTATTTAGTGGTTTTTAAGAACTGAATATTGGCATTTTCCATGGTAGTTCCAATATCTACTGTTTGGCATTATTGTCAGCTCCACTCGTTATTGGTAAATTTAACATAAATTAGCTTATTTTCTACTATTTCAAGATAATTTTAATAACTGTATTTGTTATTTAACCTTACAAAATCATCTTATTTTATAATGTCTTAGACCACATTCACAAATAAAGAGTCCACGATGTACTATAAACATCGCCAAATTGTAAACATGTGCATTTACAAGTATGTATGTTAGTACCATACATGTATTCGTAAATTTAGATTACTTTTTTCCTGTACTATATTAAAAACTAAAATTTATTTGTTTATAAGCTTAAAATAGATTCTTATTAACCATATATTATTAAAAATTCATTTATAAATAAAATACANCATCATTATTATATGCTGAATGGTAGGGAAGATTTTACCCAAGTATACAACTATTTATTATCCAATTACTAAAATATATCCAAATTTTTTCAGTACTTGAAATACCCAAATATTATACAATTTTAAAAATAATTTTTAAAAGCTGCATTTATCATATTTAAATCATACTTTTTTGTTTTTTTTATGTCACAACTTAATCAAATTTAAATTATTATTTTTATAGAAAGTAAAATCAGATAAAATGTGAAAATCAAACATATAGATGTTATTTGTAACATAATTTTATAATGAAATTAATTATTTTTTGGTTCATTGTCACAACTGTGGTTTCGACACATACAAAAAGAAATTAATCTAAATATATAAAATTACTTGTCTTGACTGACTGAGTGATTGACTGATTGATTCATCATTGCCCAGAGCAAACTGCTGAACCTAAAGAGGTGAAATTTTGTACTCAGTTAGGGTACGTCATGAAAATGCACACTAAGAAGAGATTTTTGGAAATTCCCTCCATGGGGGAGAGGGAGAAGATTAAGGCTTAACCTGCAGAACAGCTTTTACTGTACTATTTTAGATGCGATTTTTTGTTTTCAACAACGTTTAGTCTTCATTAAGTACTTAGGTGTATTAAATTGATAACATTTCAGACACTGTTATAAATATTTTTATATATTTCAATTTTTTAACCAAATGTTCAAACTGCTTTAAATTTGAATTTGTTATTGCATATTGGTTTGATTATAGAACGATTGTAAATGTTCCAGAAAATTGATCAAATTGAAAATAGTTTGTTTGATTCTCAGCAATTTTCATCATTTTCAGCAGTAGGTGTTACACAATTATTATTATGGTTGTTGAAATACTGAATATAAATGGGATTTGCTTGCAAAATCCACTCGTGTGAAATCACGTGTAACAGCTAGTTATATTATAAAACATTATTATATTATACATAATGTACATAAAGGTAAACATTAAAATAATTAATTTAGTATATACTTGTGATGTAATGACAATTATATCAGTTGTACTATATGGTTTAATATGAATTTTATTTAATATTTGATTATTTTTAATTAATTACCACTTACCTAACAGTTTTTGTCAATAAGTTGACCAAAATTATAAGTGGAATTATATGTAATTTTTATTGGATTTTATTATTTTATATTTATCAATAAAATATGAGAAGATAGAACTATGAAGATATATTGAATACTTTAATGGAGTATATAAATAACCATTATATAACTTTCATGTATTTTTGAGTTATCTCTCTTATCTTCAAGAAAACAAAAAGAACAAGAACATCTTATTCTTGTTGAAAGCAAAATTGAAGAAAATTTTGTGTTATATGTAATAGAATTAATGAAAATGTTCAAATACTTAAAAATTAACACAATGTTTTGTTTTCAGTATTTACATACATTCTGCTGCAGCTCAGTGGGATACTTGCATTCATTTAGTAAAATTAAAGGATTCTGTTTTAAGTATTGTGTAAGTAAAGTTTTTTTGTATATCTTAATATTTTAAGATAAAAAGAAGCAATTTTTATAAACGGAGAAATTTAAAATTATAATTACAACTTTGCAAACTATTACATATTGAAATGAGCATATTTAAAAATAAATAAAATTTTTTTTTATTTTTGGAACACATTAAGTTTTATGAAATTTACAATATAGTTCAAAAATACTTGGGTTTATATTAAGCAAAACAGAATAAAAATTTTCAGGAGTTCAATTTATTTACTGAGATTAAATGCTTTTTGGAACTTAATGCCTGATTTTCAGATCGAAATCCAACATAATATAAGTAAAATACAATATTCAAATAATGAACAAAAACAAATACAAACTTTTAAATAAAATGTTCTAACAGTAAGCAAAAATTTATATAAAGAAAAGTTTTAAAATAATTTGATATTTAAGTTCAAATTTCTTAAAAGTTTTCTTAAAAACAATTTGTGTGCAAGTTAATTATTGGTTCAATTTGTTCTATAAGCACAATGTAGCGTAATAACGATTACTTGGCACATTATGCTACATTGCGCTTATAGAACAAATAAAAAGAACGACACAGTTTTAAAATATGGTATTGGTTCAATATTAATAACCATAACTACAATGCTAAGTCTGACACTTCACCTTTTTGTTTGGTTTGCTCCTCTTGGCAATGTATAATTCTTTCACTATCTGTATAAGTAGATTTTTTTTATAACATTAACTATAAGCTCTGACTTGTCCCACATTATTTGAGCCTTTTTGATTTTATAAACTTTCTTTGCTAATTCTGTATTTATTTTTTATATGCAATTTATGTTATTTCATCTTGTCTCTAAACATTTAGTATGTGCTTTTTTACAATAGCCACAGTTTTGGCTCATTCAGATACGTCCAGTAATTTAGTCAAGTGATTAGTACCTAGTTATTAATAAACAATTTATTGTATAAAAAGTGTTCAGACTAGTACGATTGAGCATGAAATGAGCTTGAAGACATAAGTTAGACATATTGTGGACCACTGAATACAGTGGCAGATCTAATGGGAAGGCTACAGGAGCTTAAGCCCTTTCCCATCAACACAAAAATAAATAAAAAATTTATTTGTTTGAATTTCAAAATGTTGGTTTTAAAAATGTTTACAATGGCAAATATAGTCTGTTAGACCATCTACCATAAAATTGTCATGCACCTATTAATAAAAGGTACTTATTAATTATTCAAACATTTAAAATTTTTCAGTTGGCTCCCCTTCTTGAAAATGCTATGGATCAAGGATTTTTGACTGTTATGTATAAGCTTAATTTTATATAAACTTTTGTTTTATACATGAAATATTTAAAAGTCAAGTATTCATTTGGTGTTTTTTCCTTATGAGTTAAACCATCATTGGCTGAAATACAAGAGGTTTAAGTTGTATTTTTAACACTAAGTTTTTAATAATTCTTTTTCTCTATATTATTGAACATAATATTATGAAGTTTAAATTTTTTATATTTAATTTTTCTATTTTTCCATTTTGCTTATCATCCAGAATGAATTGCTAATGAAATGAAACAGAAGGAACTAAACACTTTGAATGTTTAATGAAGTGCTTCCAAACTTTTATCTTATAACCTGAAATTTTTAAACTTGCAGGTTATCCACACAAATATGGCATGTTGAAAAATAGTTTGTGTTAATGAAAGGTTCATATAATAATAATGCATACTTTAGTTTAAAAATTTTGTTGTATTGCTTCTGAACTAATTTCTAATTTTTTCTTTATCAAATTTAATATTAACAAATTGAAAAATTGAAAGAATGGAATGCACNAGTTTAAAAATTTTGTTGTATTGCTTCTGAACTAACTTCTAATTTTTTCTTTATCAAATTTAATATTAACAAATTGAAAAATTGAAAGAATGGAATGCACAATGTAATAATTATTAAATATGATAATTTAAAGCCATACTGTACTTTTAGGAAAAACTGGTATTAAAATAACAGTGTTAATTCTGCTTTCAATATACAGTGGGTGATCTGTTAACAAACAGTTCAGTTAACAAACAAATTAGATAATGAATACATTTGCGAAAGATTTTTATGTTCGGACAACAAACACCTCACAAAACAAACATAAGAAGAAGCGACATAAAGTAATGAATACCGATTGGTCTTCCCTTGTCTTCAGACAACAATTCGAAACATTTTGGAGCACGGGAGATGTCGACATCGACACTCAAACCAGTATATACTGATCGAATAGTATTCCTCCAAACTTTGAAATTCTCCCTTATAATTCCAGTCTTTTATTTTTCTGATAGAAAAAGTTTTTTCTAGTATTCATGAGACTGTTGGGAGGGCACTAGTTAAGTTTTGCATTGATTTTTATTTTCAAAAGGTGAGAGTATAATAGCAAAGGTAGAGAGTGGGCAGATATCTAATGTCTGTTGTTGCTGGGCAGTATGGCTCGAACAGGTCTACAGTAGGCTGTAGTTAAATTTTATCTAAGAAAGATATTGTATTATCAAGAAGACTCAAGCAGCTTAAGGAGTAACAAAAATCACATCTGAGAAATAAAGAACATTGAAGAGCTCATGATGAAACCTGAAATGGATCTGATGACAGAAGAATGCCAAGAAACTCAGTGAGATATGTTTTCTTCTGAAAAAGAGAATTAATGTTGATATCTGCTATTAAACATTTTTTTTAAAGAAGTGGGATGATGTCAGAATGACATTCAAACAAGTTTGAGGTTAATAGTCTTAAAGATCTCTATAATTACAATGCTATTAATTACTTCTGAAAAATCTTGAAGAAAAGAGAAGAGTAATCAACATTATTAGACAGATTCTTTAACCCCCACAAACAGAAAAAAACATGAGTAATAAAAATGCAAGACTCTGTATATATGTATTTTTATTATTACATACAAATAAACTTAGTAAGAAAGTATATATTTTTTATTTTTTGGAGTCTCCGGAACAAATTAATCAAATTCCCATAAAAACCTATGGTAAATTGATAATTGGTTAACGAACAATTCGGATAGCGAACAAAGTCTTGGAATGGATTATGTTCGTTAACCGATCACCCACTGTATAATATGTTTTTCATTTTATATTTACCTCTATATAATTAGATATTATTTTATTGAATAATAAAATTTTTTTGGAAATGGCAACGTTATTTATTTAAAAATTTGGTTGATTTAATTAGATATGAGGTGATGTAAAATAAAAAAAATTTAACAAATAGTTTATAAAGTTGGGTATTCTATATAATAGAAATTATTCAAGATAAATGTTTTTATTTACTTTTATTATCACATGAAATATCAACTCACATTAAAATGTGTATTAGAAAGTTAATCATTTAATGTTAAATTTATAAATTATTTTTTATTAAAATATAAATAATTTTATTATATTTTTTTTTATAAGCCATTTTAAAGGAAGAGTATTTGCTGCCTTAGCTAATGGTACAGCAGCCATATTTCATAGAGATATAGGTAATCTATTTATTTATTAAAAATATTACTCAATAATTACTATCTTATACATAGATTAACATAGAACAGTTGCCATGCAGGATGTGTAACTGAAAAATATGTTTTAAATATACTATTCTGTAGCTAATGATATTATGTTTGCACCTTAAGAAGTGGATATGTGGTTTGATAATTGTTCCTAAGATCAAGAAATTAAGAAAGAAAAAGTATTTGAAATAAGATATCACTCACAAGGGAACTGTTGGAGTATCTTCTAATAAATTTTAATAAAATTTAGTTAATAACTAAGTTAAAAGTATACAAACTCTATTTTAAATTTGTAGCATTCACTAAAAGTGTTGATCAGAGTTATTAGCAATCAAATGTTGCACTACTTTATAGTAGTTTAACACAGTTATGCAAATTTTTAGAAGTGAAAGGGTCGCGGAGGAA